ATCAGTATCAGGGCCCTTCCAGTTATCCCACTGGACCTTTCTGGAGAGCCAGCATCTGGGAACACACGCATTCCAAAAATACCTCCCAGGGCATCTTTCAGCAACAAGAGGGTCCTTTTGCAGGTGATGCCTAGCAGTTTTTAAGCAAGTTAAGAGACCACATTGCAGATACTACGTTAGGGGTGGGCAAAATAATGGCCTAGGGGATGGATCCAGCCCCATCAGGCAATTCCATCCAGCCCATGGGGCCCCTTTGTGGAACCCTCTGTAAGCCCTGGCCCTGGGCTGCTCCTCTGCAAGCATTTCTCCATGCATGAGTTGCCCCTCTAGTTGCTAAGCAACTCCTTCCCCCCCACTCCCTGCTCCCACCTGGCCTGTCCTGCCCCAGCCCTGAGCCAGGGGGCACCACAGATGAGAAGCCTTGGTCGTGCAGAGCTTGCATGTAGCCCTCCCTCCTGTGGCTGTTCCCAGGCTCCCTGCCTGGGAATGCAGGTAAGGGCTGCACTGGACCAGGGCTGGGAATGCAGGGAGCCAGGCTGGGTTGGCCACGCACACTGCAGGAGCTGTGCGCTGTGGATCTGGGTGGGGCTGGCCCTGCATGCTGCCACCATGTGCGGGTGGGAGCTGAGTGTTGAGGCCAGGAGGGGCTGGTCCTGCACCCTGCCGCCACATGCAGCTCCAGGGATTCTCACTCCAGAGACTCTGAGGATTCTTCCCACACCCTCTATCCCCACCATACCCACACAACTTCCCACGCTGCACCCCTACCATACCTCCTAAACACACCTACACCCTCCCATAGCCGCTGGCCCCCCACCCCAACCATGTATCCCATACCCACACCCACCCACCAACCTACCATGCCCACACCCCACATACACACGCACTCCCCAACCATATACCCCACGTACAATATACAAGAGAGAGACTATATTTTGAGCTATTATGCAGTTACCTCTAGATAAACTATGCAAACACATACATTAGGACAAAAATATTTTTGTAAATAAAATTAAAAGAAGTTTATAGTAAATGTCTTTTATTATTATTATTACTTAATTTTTTTTTTTAAGTGTATGATTTGGTTTTTTTTTTTTCTTCTGGTTTCAAGATGGCCACCTGACCAAAAAGAGTATACTTCTGGGGCAAGGGGAGGGACTTCTGGTGGCAAAAGTCAGGGTTAGGGGTGGGACTTCCAGTACCAAGATGGTGACTAGGTGGTGGGGCACCTGTCAAGGAGCAGGGCTTCTCTTGCAGCCCGACAGCTCACCAAAACTCATTAAGCAGCCCTCTAGCCAAAATAATAATTGCCTATCCCTGTACTACATGGTGCTCCCAAGTACATTCCTTAGCACCCTGTTGGCATTTCGTATTCTTTTCTTGCTGTTTGTATTGTGTTGTGTTGGGCCACCCATAGCACCTTTGCGAAGGTTGAGTACAGGGGTAACTGTCTGTCCTGAGGAAGCGGTTGATTTAAATCTCGGGTTCTTCCATGTGGTGGTTGTGCCATACTGGGTGCGTCTACACATTCATTTATGTGCCATAGTTACTGCACATTAAGTTTAGTACTTGTATAACCGAGTACTAAATCAATGCACAGTAACTAGCAGTACTGCACAGTAGCACCAGTGCATGGATTTTAGTAATGCTAACTGCGCAGTAGCCTAATACTACTGTGCAGTAGTGTATTAGTTTGGTTTTTGCCTTGCATGCTACTGCACAGTGAGCATCTTGTGTAGATACCACTACTGGGTGTAAGCCCTATGTTTGCTTTATGCCTTGTAATAGTGTTTCTGCTAAGTTCTTGCCTAGCTGCTATCCAGATGGGAAATCAAGGGGAAGCATAGCCTCTCCTTTGCAGCAGTGTCAACTTTCCCCAGCGATGCAGTAGCATAACTAGGGTGGGGTGACCAGGGTAACAGCCCCAGGTACCGACTGGGGAGGAGTGCAGAATAAACTGCTTCCACTGAAGTTGTGCTAGTGGCATGATGCATCACACAATGTCCTGAATGCTGAGCTGCATCGTCATGCCTGTGTAGTAATGTCAAGAGGAAGCAGCTGCACCTAGCATATTCAGTAATTCTCTTAATCGGGCTGTGTCTACTACTCTCACCCTGGTTATATCAGTGCCCCCATCACCCCACTTTTTGCTCCGTTTATTTTGGAGGGGAGAGTTGAGGAACAATTGTAAAGAAATGGAAGGGGTAGTTCCTGACCATAAATCATGTGTTAATAGCTAGGCCCCTTTTGCTTTGTGGTACTCTCCAGAGCCTCAGATGAAATCCTGCTGGGGCTGACATGTTACTGCAGGAGTGAACAAAATATGGTCTGTGGACCAGATCAGCCTATGGAGCAATTTTGCTTGGCCCACGACAGGTCCCTCGGCCTGGGCCGTGGTACATGCAGTCGGTCCCTCTGCCCCGCGGCGTACAGTGGGGCTGGGGCAGTGTGGTGGCTAGACTCA